AAATTTTTTTTTTGCACAAACAAAACCAATGCAGCCAAAATTAGGAGGAAAGTAGGAAACTAGGGGGAAATGTTATAGCAAGTTTTTCTGATAAAGGCCTCATTTCTCAAAAATATAGAGAACCGACCCAAATTTATAAAAATAGCAGCCAATCCCCAGTTGATAAAAGGTCAAAGGATATGAATAAGCAGTCTTTAGAAGAAATCAAAGCTATTGATAGTCACATGAAAAAGTGCTTTAAATCACTATTGATTAGAGAAATGCAAATCAAAATAACTCTTAGATACCACCTCATACCTGTCAGGTTGGCTAACATGACAGAAAATGAAAATGACAAATGCTAGAGGGGATGTGGAAAAATAGAGACACTAATGTACTGCTGGTGGAGTTGTGAACTGGCCTAACCATTCTGGAGAGCAATCTGGAACTACGGCCAAAGGGCCAAAACTATACATATCTTTTGACTCAAGGACCTATTTGTACAAAAATATTTATAGCAGCTTGTTGTGGTGGCAAAGAAATGGAAACTGAGGGGATGCCCATCAATTGGGGAATGGCTGAACAAGTTGTGGATTGTGATGGAATACTATTGTGCTATAAGAAATGATAAGTATGATGGTTTCAGAAAAAACTGGGAAGACCTATATAAACTGATGCAAAGTGAAGTAAGCAGAATCAGAAGACGATTGCACACAGTAACAACAATATTGTAAGGATGATCATCTGTTGAAGACTTAGCTACTCTGCTCAGTGCAATGATCCAAGATAATTCCAAAGGACCTATGATGAAAAACGCTATCTATCTCCAGAGAGAGAACTGATAAACTCTGAATGTAGATTGAAGCATACTTTTTTTTTTACTATCTTTGTTTCTTGTTTTTTACTGTTTTATTTTTGCAACATGGCTAATATGGAACTATGTTTTACATGATTTCACATGTATAATTGATATCATATAGCTTGCCTTCTCAATGGGTGGGGGAGGGTGTAGAGGGAGAGAAAGAATTTGGTACTCAAAATTTTAAGATATAAACGTTAAATTTTTTTAAATGCAATTGGAAAATATTTAATGAAATAAATAAAAATATAATTAAAAAGAAAATAATCAAGAATGTTTTTCTTATTTTCAAACATGAATACTCAAGCCTCCATTCAATCTTCCTCATATACAGCCATTATTCAACACAACCTATGACAATTGCCAGGATTCTCTGATGTATATACATGTTGCATTATGATTTTCCTATTTTTAATCTCAATGTGTAGGTAGGCTGAGAAAAAAATCTTCTAATGACCCTTACTGTCGAGTGATAAAGCAAAATTGATTGGAAAGGAAACAGGTGTGTGATGCAATTTTCAGTTTCTATGTATTCCCAGGATATATTCAGTACTCCTTTGTTTTGGTGAAGTTTACTTTTCAGGTTGCTCATTATCAAAATGAAATATGAAGTTACTGTAACAGAAAGGACCAAGCACAATGTCACTTCTCTATAACATATACTTTTATTCACAAAAGAAAGAACCTAAGGGCTTAGAGGAAGTAATAACACATTTCAAGTTTCTGTTCCTAAATAAAAAATTTCAATAAAACATTCAAAAGAGGAGAGCAAATTCACCATAACATTATTGAACAAATATTTTCCTCCACTCCTAGTAACAAATTCAGATGTGCACTCAGTGGGCTATAACTGTCCCCACATTAGTCACGTGCCAAAGCTGGGTTCGAAATGCACAACATCTAAGGGAAAAAAGAGCCCTTTCTTGTCTCATGTGGTAACTGCAGGCCCAGCAGACGCTTCACTCCAGGTGGGCACATGGATGTTGGGGTGGCTATCTTGGTCAGTGGTATCTGCCACCTTCATATGCTTCTCTGGCAGGTACTTTTCCAGGAAACTAGCCCTGTCTGGATTACCAGGGATTTGGAAACTTGTACCACCGGGGAGTCACAAACCTTGGAAACTGCTCCATCTCTGTCCTGGGTCCTGGCAGCCTCCTGGATCTCTACTGAGGGCTAGAAGCTTAGACTCTCAGAGCTCCAACAAGCTGCTCCCGGCATGAGGCCTCAGGTTGGATTGGCTTTCCCCGCCTAGATATTTTGGAGTTTCAAAAGCTAAATCCAACAATGCCTTCTGAGCATGGTTTCCTCAACCAACAGAAACAGGTTTCTATTTTTTTAGATCCCATCTCTGCCTCTATTGATCTCCCTGCATCTCAGATATCTGCATCTGCAGCAGTCTACAAATTTTCCCTTTTCTGTGAACCTCAAAATCATGCTGTCTCCCCTAAGTCTCAGAAACCAAAGCTTCAGGAACATTTGAATTCCCTCAAGTAAATCAGAAATCTGTCTTTTCTGGTACTGTTGAGCCTCAAAAGCCTGCAATCTTTCTCTTTTCCTGAGTTCTAGAATGATATATTTTTCCTGGAACTGTGGACACATACCTCTCACATCAGGTACCAATTTCCCTGAACATCAAAAATCTGTGAAGTCTGGTGACCATAAGCTCAGAGAACACAGAAAATCAAAAAGGAATGGTTTTGGCTCCAGGAGAACCAGCAACTAGCTCTCCGCAACAAACCATAAGAACCTCTAAAGTCTCTACATCTAGAGAAACAAAAGAAAGAGAAGGGAATGCTGATAATGAAAGAAGTATCCCTGAATCCAGTCCCAAAAGGCAGGATTCCATATACAAAAAGACCCGCGAATTGCACAGCGACGTATGATCCTTAACTTATTTCAGAAAAGAGAACAAAAACAGATGTAGCTTCTCAAGCTGCCAAAAGAGTGCCGCCCTTTACCAGAGAGTGGGCTGAAACTTGTCCACCTAGCAGAATGACCTCCAACCTCTGCTGAGTTGGTTGGATTGAGATGCTAAGCTCTAGTAGTTGGCAGCCAACTTGAAAACCCCATAGCTGGCAAAAGAATCCAAAAGACAACTTGGGAGAGTGGCCGACATTATTTTTGTTAAGGATTTGTATTCTGCCTCATGGCTTGCAAAATAAAATACAGATAAAATGGGACAACTGTCTTTAATAATACATAAAACAAAAACCAATTAAAATAAACAGGGAAATGCATGTTACTAGGCACAGAGGAAGAGTTAGTTACTGAAGTCAAATACCCTAAGTCTGAGATTCTTGGCAGCTTGAAAATACACTTCAAATTTCTCAAAAATTTATAGATCTGGCCAGAGCTGCCCAGCAACACAGTAAGCTAGAGAAAGGAAGAAGGGGCCAGAAGATTCAAAATATTTTTGGTTAATGACAAAACAAAACTCACCAAGACTCAAAATCTCAGCATGACTACCAACACTTCAAACTAAGCCACAAAGTCAAGGAGGTCTGAGTTGGAATTTGAGTTACTTACTAGCTGAGGCACCCTGGGCAAATCACTTAACCTCTCTTAGCATCACTGTCCTCATCTGGAAAATGGGGATAACAATTGCACCTACCTCAGAAGGTTGTTATGAGGACCCAGAGAGATAACACATGTAAAGCATTTTGCAAGCCTCATCATGCTATGTAAATACCAGCTATCATCACCATCACCATCATCATCATCATCATCATCATTAGAATCACATTCAGGAAATACCTATGTCAAAAGTGAAGCACTATGATCAAAGAGGAGATGCCCTGGATGACTCAGTAAGCAGTGTGAATACTTATATCTTCATTACTGGAGAGCCTAGGGAGGGGAAACTGAGTCTACAGCAGGATCTCAGTTGTCTCACAGCTGCCCTAAGTCCATCTAAGTCCTCACTAATTTTTATCAGAGGGAGGCACCTGCTGACCAGGATGAAGAATTTGATGCTATTCAAGAAGAGCAGAGGAATGGACATACTTTGAACCTGTTTCATCTTTATCTGGTCGAAGAGAAGTGAGAAATGGTGAAGGGAACGAACCATTGTCCTTAATCAGAGAGGAACACTAAAGATATGACTCTTTCCAGAGATCACTGACAATGGCAAAAGGTGATCCCTCTCCTAGCCCTGTGCTGGCGGCAGTGAGGGGTATGTGGGGGGAGGACTATCAGCATTTTTCTTGGTTTCTGAACATCTCTCTCCACTCCAGGCCAACCTACTTCCCAACTAATGTCACTAGGGCTCCCTGCTCCACACCTGTGCTCCACACCTGTGCTGACTGACCCCTGGAAGGCCAGGCTGTGGTTCCTGTGGTAGCTGCGAGCATTTAAAGCAAGATTCTCTTACCTTGAGTTTTTCTTATCTGCTCTCCCTGACCTCCGGCTTCTGCATATCCCCTGAATCCTGACTCTTTACCAGCTTTCGACTTATTGTTCAGTGATCACAATCTAAGTAGTAACTGAGGGTAGGACAATGTCTTAGCTATCTTTGTGACTTCCTAGTACAGAGAAGGCACTAAAAAACGGTCGTTGAATTGAATGGAACGGAATGGAACAAGAGAAGGCCATGAGATTCTGTAAAAAGTACCATGGCTCTGGAGTCAGAGACCCTGCATTCAAATCAAACCACCTGTGTGACCTTGGCTAAGCCGCTTGACTCCTATAGCGTTTAGTTCCTCATCTGAAAAATGCAGGGATTGATCTTGGATGGGCTTTAAGACTCCTTCTGACTCTAGAAATCTAATCCTATGAATTAAGCAATCTTTGCCTTCTGACTGACAGAGCAGAGCAACCACATCATCTTTGCTCTGGGCTTCCAAGTTTCGTGGGCTCCTCTCCTAAAAAGAAGAGTTAGCATTTACAGAACTTTTTAAAGTTTGTACAGTCCTTTCCATTTGTTATGTCATTTGACCCTCGCAACAACCCAGAGAGGTAGATGCTCTTATTATTTTACAACTGAGGAAAATGAGGCAGACAGTGGTGAAGTGACTTGTTCAGTCACCCAGCTAGTAAGTGACGCAGGCTGGATCTGAACCAAGGCCTTCCTGACTCCATCCCTGCTGCTCTGAGCACTGCAGCACCCCCAAGAGGCCTTGCTGCCCATGGCCCCACCTGACTCCTCCCCAGAGCGCCCGCTCACCCGGAGCTGCCATTCCACCAAGTCAGTCCCCGTGATCATCTCGGTAACAGGATGCTCCACCTGCAGCCTCGTATTCATCTCCATGAAGAAGAAGTTGTGGTTTGAGTCCATGATGAACTCCACAGTGCCTAGAACATGAGATCGGGGGGTTAAGCTGCAGTGGGAAAGTATGAGAAGGACCCAAATCAAAACCCTGCCAAGAAAGAGGCCACTGAGGCAAAAAGATCCCTGGCCTGAAAGCCGGGAGACCCGAGTTCTAGTTTTGACTCTGCTGATACGAACACGGGATTGTGGTTGAATCACTTAACTTCCCTGGTGTGTTTCCTCATCTGTAAGATGAAAAAACTAGACCCAAGGAGATCTGAGGTCTCTTCCAGCTTTAATACCATAACTCTGAGGCAGGTTGTGGTATAGTTGGGAGAGCACTAGGGCTTGGAGTCAGGGAGGCCCGAGTTCAAATCTAGCCTCAGACACTAGCTGGGTAACCCTGGGCAAGTCACTTAAACCATTTGCCTTAGTTTCCTCAACTGTAAAATAAGGATAATAATAGCACCACCACCCCCATCTTCCCAGGGTTGTCATGAGGATTAAATTAGATAATATTTGTAACAGCACTTAGTACAGTGCCTGAGAACAAGCAGGAGCTATATAAATGCTTATTTTCTTGCCAAAAAAAAAAAAAAAAAGCTTATTCCCCCACCCCAACCATGCATCGGATGTCATTTTGTTTCTAATTCTTCATCAAATGGAAAACATTTGATACTTACAACAATTAAAACTCTAATACTGCCTCTTCATCTAAGATGGAGGGATCGCCCTGAAATTAACACTGAGCAAAATGTAGGAGGCCCCCAGAACCAGCCCCAAAGGTCCTAAATAATGAGACCATGACCGAGCCACTTCAAGGTGACTAGAGAGTAGCAAAGCCACAAAGGACCCCCCCACCCCGCCCCAAGACAGCAGCCAACTCTGGTCCAGTTGAGGAATCTGGAAGTCATTATTATTTTGTTTCTTCAAAGAACAGGCTTCCATCCATGGGAACCCTGACTCATGCCCAGACTCAGGAAATTGAATCCACATGCACTTGGAGGTTTGTAAAACACATTCAGCAAGAGTGCCCTCACCCCCCCCCCAAAAAAAAGTTTCATGGTTTTCTTGCGCCCTCAAAATTGGAGAAATGCATGCCTCGATTCTGCTCCTTCCTGTTCCCCCCTCCAACTCGCTTCCTCCCACCCACTCACCTGCACCCACATAATTAACAGCCTTTGCAGCTTTCACTGCGGCTTCCCCAAGCTTCCTTCTTATTTCGGGATCGATTCCAGGCTGTGAACAATTAAGACATTTTAAAAATAAATCTCATACAAGGATCACGGGCATTACTCACTCGATCTTTTCTCACCGAGAAATTTTAAGAAAATCCAGCTTTATAAATGTCCATTAAGGAATGTCTTATTTTCAGGAACTGTTTGTATCAAACAAAATCAATGACTCATTAAATTGGTCCATCAACTGTAGATTTCACTAGGCATAATAACGCCTCTGCCTTTGTGCCTCAGACCAGTTTTTATTTTAATTAATTAAAAATTGTGGATGCCTGTTTGAAAACTTTTGCTGACCTCGTTTTGTTTCAAAATAAACCACAAATTAACCATGTAATTAGACAATATTAGTCAAAATCAGTGCCTTTGGAAGTTATTATGGAACCAAGAGATAAACTTGGAATGTTGAGCAACAATATAGAAAAAGAGCCCCATTTCATTTGGCCAAGTCTCCAATGTCAATTAAGATGGGTTTACAGGAGAAGTGCGTATGAATAAATAAGTGAACTTGGTGACAAAAAACTGACAATCTCCTCCTCTGCAATTATACTGGAGGCTCATTCTCTAAAAATGGAATTTCATCGGGCATCAATTTGCCAAGTAAATTAGGATGTCTTGAATAGACTATTACAGTGAAATGGAAACACTGAGATCACTGAAATTTTGATGCACTTAGGAGAAAAAGGTAAATCATAAAACCAAGCTATCAGACAGGGACTGACTTTTTTAAAAAATCAGTTTGGGAGTATATTCTGAGATCAGCACATCCGGCCCAATCTCCTATACTTTCTACATCTACAATGCTCCAGCAGTGATCATCAAGAGCTCACAGATGGAGAGCTAGAAGAAACCTCAGAGGGTGTCTAATCCAACCCTCTTATTTTACAGATGAGTAACCTGAGACCCAGAGAGGTGTGGCAACTAGGAGAGGCTTATAAACGGTCTGTGAGGGCACTGAAATGTCCTCAATAATCAAAAGAAGATTCTAAGAAAGTTCAGGATTCTACAGTAAGGCAGGAAAGTGAGTTTAAAAACTCATTTCTATCTAGAAAAACATTTAATATATTTTAGAAAATTTTCAAACACATTTTTCAAAACCCATTTTTGTCTAAAAAATAGATTTTTGACTAATCAAAAATTAATATTACTTTTAATTAATTTTTTAAACCGTGTAACAAAACCTCACTGTAAAACACTAGTCATTGTAAAATAAAATCTGTCCCACTATTGGCACACCCTGCATTATTAAGTGGCTTCACTGACCAGGCCAGTGTGCGGCCCTCAAGTATATTATGATAAGCCTCTGATATTAACGAGACCTATGATTTCATCAGTATAGGGGAGCTCCCAAGGAGCTGTCCAACAGTAGAGTGCTGGCCAGGGAGTCAGGAAGGTGAGTTCAAATCTGGTCTCAAACCCTTACGAGTTGTATGACCATGGGCAAGTCACTTAAGCACTGCCTGCCTCAGTTTCCACAACAGTAAAATGTAGATAATAACAGCACCTTCTTCCCAGGGTTATTGTGAGGATCAAATGAGATAATATTTGTGAAATCCTTAGCACAGGGCTGGCAGATAGCAGGTGCTACATAAATGCCTGCTTGTTTCCTTCTTTCCTATGAGGAAACTCACTCTATCACTACAGATCAGAAGACTTAGAGGGAAGTGGGATTAGATTTCAGATTTGGGGAAGTGGGACTGGACTTCACAGGCTACTGACATGACAATCAAGGCAAACTAGCTGTAAACTCCTTTGAAGATTGTCCTTACCCCTGGGGCCTCCTCGATGATTTTCTGGTGTCTTCTCTGTACACTGCAGTCTCTCTCAAACAAATACACAGCATTGCCATGCTGGTCACCAAACACTTGAACTTCCACATGCCTGTTGGTGGGTAAATGCAGATTTCATTATCCTTTGTTCTGACATCGTAACGTGGCGTTTGTTAAACCAAACTCCTGGTCTTTCAAGTGACCTCAGTTCTTTTATACGTTAGATTTTTGTGCTATATGAATATACTCTAATCTTACAAGGAAAAGTGGAAGAAAGATCTATAATCAAATTTACCTTATTAAAAATCATCTTTGTTGAGGATTCTGATTTACTTTGTGTTACCTCTATCTTGATTTCTATTTCTTTTTTAAGTCACTAATGACTGAATTAATTCTTGGAAATATTCACTAATAAGGGAATATTTCAATACATAATTAGATCCATTACCTCATTGATACTGGTAGTCCCCTTTGATAGTGCAAATTCAACCCATCTATGTTTTCTTATCTTGTACAATTTTCATCGAAGTTAATTCAGAAACAGTTATGGTTTTAAAGAAGAGTCATAACCATCAGTTTTGCCCCTGTACCCTAAGGAGAGAGTCACTGGACCTTTCCATCTGACTTACAACAAAAACCACTGCTTCCTTAGCTGTCTCCTATTATGATGTAAACTCCTTGGAAGTTGGGGCTGTCTTGATTTTCCATTAGTAAATGCTCTATACACATTTGGAGTGACCACTCCAAAAATGCTCATTCATTCATTCAGGATGCACTGTCTCATGGAGGAGCCGACCATCACACAGAAAGCCTTCCTGCCCATCAGCCTCTTTCACACTTGATGGCTGCCAGGGCAGCTTTGGGTGCCCATCTGTGGCTCCTTGTTCTTCCTACTTGCCTGGCCCACTTCCTCTCCTGAGCTTTCATTTTCTGGAGGCCAACCCCTCCCTGAACACGAGTCACTGATGATATTAGGCTGCAATCTACTGGCCCCTACAATGGACCTCTCCATTTTCTTTTAAGCATCTCTGATTTGACTGTTCAGAGACTGGGAGTGTCATGAGCTATACACAGCTACACAATGTCACTGGAAGAATGCTGGTGTTAAAAAGATGAGTTTTGTTTCAGAGAGCAGCTAAGGAATAATTGGAAAAAAACACTCCAATGAATCTGTGATCACATCTTGCATGCCTCCCCATCCTGTGCGACTTTTGTTTACACATCGTGCCGAAAGTTCCACACAGGGTGTCTCCCCTGCATGCCAGAGGCCTTCCTCCCTCTCTTGCAAAATTGTAAGGGTGGTAAAGGCGCATCTGAGCTGTCCCCCTTTCATCCCTCGCTCTCACCACATAAGCAGCCCACCCTCTCGTTCTATCACGCAATTCCTTGTCAACATTCTTTATTCCTGCCCTTCTTCAGAGCTCCCCGTTAGCTCTATGTTGTAGCCTGCTCACACCCGCCACATGCCTTTCCATTGCCTTCCTTCTACTGCGATGACTGGAATGTCTTCTGTCCCAGATCACTGCGCAGGTTAAGACCCTACTACAATCCTTGATAGATGTTGAACAGGGAACAAGCTTCAAACTAACGGTTTGGGCCCTCACCTCTAGCAATAAGGGGCCTGATGGGAATGCTGGCATCATTTGAAAAACCATCTGGCAGGAACTCTGGGGCTGCCCTTCTCCTCAGAAGCCCCCGTGAGGGAATAAAGCACCCAGGCTCCAACAGCACAGGGGTGCTCTCCATCCAGAGACAGCCCAATGCTTATGGTGCATGGGAAGAAGGCTCCTTGTGACTCAGTGGGAATGAGTGCTCTGTATCCTATGTGGATCACCACTCCACCCCTTCTACTTGAATACTGCTAAGTAATGTACTCTGTGTGTGTGTGTGTGTGTGTGCCTGTGTGTGTGTGTATGTGTGTACCCTGTTACACCACTGGACTGCCCAGTCATCCCTACCCTTATAACTTCCCCTGCAAGGCTAATTAACCATGGTGATGGTCAGATTACCAAGTGTTTTTCCTTGCTTGTAGAATCCAAACCCACCAGCAAGTTTAGCTAGACCAGATGTAATCTTAGAGATAGCTCTAATGATCCTCTGTTCATCAATATCTAGTAAGGCACAGAACAGGCAGACATGGTCATGAAAAGCATTTGCCACTGTTGTGGGTGCAGAATCCAAATAGAGGATTCCTGATAGAGGATTAGCTCTTGGAGGTGCTGTTACTTGCAGATGACATAGAGCCCCAGAATACCATAGCTCCTTCTTAGTGACATTAATGGCCACACAAATGATTAGCTTTCTTAATAGGAAGTGGAATAAGGAAGATCTTCAGACTGAGCATATTTGTCACCAATTCCAACAGCATTCTAGATAAAATTTAAACAAAGCAAACTCAGGGCCCCAAATTCACTCATTCAATCAGTCAAGAAATAGTTATTAAATGCTTGCTGTGTTCCAGGCACTGTGTTTAAATACTGGGGATACAAAGAAAGGTAAAAATAGGCCCTGCCTTCAAGAAGTTGACATTCTAATAGAGAAGACAGCATGAAAATAACTATGGATACACACACACACACACACACACACACACACACACACACACACACACAGTATAGGGTTAGGGTTGCCATGACTACCTTCAAACAGGGCTGAATCCAATTATTAAAGACAAATGGTTACTCTAGTTTGTCAGAAAGCCTCAAAAGTACTAATTCGTTAAAACTACATGTTACCAATTCAGAAAATATACCCATGTCCTTACAGTAACCCACATCAAGGTAATACCTTATCTCATGGTAAATGACTCACTCCTCATAGGCCAAGCATGGTGCTGAATATAAAGAAGTAACAATGAAGTTATTGGGGGAAGGGAAGAAGCAGAGTCTTTGCCCTGCGAGAACCCACAGTCTCTCTCAGGGCAGGTGATGTCCACAAATGAAATGACTAACATCATGTACTACCTGGACGTCTGCTGAGGGCCATCAGCCCATTGCCCAAACGAGCGCCCTGCCCATCTCCAGTAGAATTCTTTGTTGGAAGCCTGATTTCTTTTATTCTCATTCAGAGGTTGTGCTAATAGCGATAGATGGATGTTTCCAGGAGAGGGGCCTTCACAACCTTCCTTAATAACTCCTTCTCCACATGAGTTGGCATTTGCCCTGATTAACTAAAGCCAGATGACCTATTTTGTTAATTATTTTTCCTACTATATCACTTGCCAAACTCAATCATTCTTCTCAAGGTCACTAGACCTGGTCAATTTGACATTTCCTTACAAGAAACATAGCTACAACAAACACCTTAGTAAATCCAAGCCAATCAGTCAATATTTGACCAAAGGATATTTCAGACCACAAAAGCACTCCAAAAACCCACTGTTAATGGGATTTGACCTGTCATGAACACTTAACTCAAACATATTCTCATAGGCCCTCAATCCACATTATATAGCATTAGAAAAACATCTCACCTTGGGGTGTGCACAAACTTCTCCAGCAGCACGGCATCATCACTGAAAGACTTCCTGGCTTCTCTCCTTGCCGATTCCAGCTGTTCTTGAAACTCTTCTTCTGATTTGGCGATCCTCATGCCCTAAGATAGGAAATAAGATTGTTATAACGGTGACAGCACAACAAATGAATGAGGCAACTTCCCAATGGAACCTACAAACAGGCCGTCTCTTACTTTTCCACCTCCACCGCGAACTGCTTTAATCATGATTGGGTAACCAATTCTTCCAGCCTGTTCCTTCAGGTACTGGTCTGATTGATCTTCGCCATGGTAACCTTCAATAATAGGAACCCCAGCAGCAGACATGATTGCCTTGGATGTGCTTTAAAGGGGAATAAAAGGAGTTCAGAGGCCACCATGAATCCCTTGGTACAAATGCTTATTTTGATACACTATAGACTGTAAAACATAATGAAGCTTTCTTTCCCCCCCCCACTTATCAGCATTTTATTTTTTCCAATCCCACGTAAAGATAGTTTTCAACATTTATTTTTGTAAGATTGAGTTCCAAATTTTTCTCTCTTCCTCCTTTCCCTCCCCCCTCCCCAGGACAGCAAGTAATCTGATATAGGCTATACACGTACAATCATATTAAACACATTTCCACATTAGTTGCGTTGTGAAAGAAGACTCAGAACAAAAGGGAAAGATCACCACAAAGAAAAAACAAAAAACAAAAAATAAAGAAAATAATATGCTTTGATCTGCATTTAGACTCCATAGTTCTTTCTCTGGATGTGGATAGCATTTTCTATCATAAATCTTCTGGAGTTGTCTTGGATCATTGTATTGCTGAGAAGAGCTAGGTTTGTCATAGCTGATTTTTGCACAATTATCGCTGTTACTGTGTACATTGTTCTCCTGGTCCTGCTGACTTCACTTAGCAACAGTTCATGTAAGTCTTTACAGGTTTTTCTGATATCTGTCTGTTCATCATTTCTTATTGCACAACAGTATTCCATTACAAATATATACCACAACTTGTTTAGCCATTCTCCAATTGATGGGCATCCCCACAATTTCCAATTCTTTGCCACCATGGAAAGAGCTGCTATAAATATTTCTGTCCATGTGGGTCTTTTTCCTTTTTATAATCTCTTTGGGATATAGATCTGGTGATATTGCTGGATCAAAGAGTATGTACAGTTTTACAGCCCTTTGGGCAGCATTCCAAATTGCTATTCAAAATGGTTGGATCAGTTCACAACTCCTCCAACAATGCATTAGTGTTCCAGTTTTCCCACATCTTCTCCAACATTTAACATATAATGAAGCTTTCTAAGGAAATTCACACTGTACAGGTCATCAAACATTAGAAAGGTCTTCACTATGACTGAATATTAGTACAAATGGACAATTACAAGTAGGCATTAATCTAGCTTTCCCTAAGCCCATTTCCCAAGTGAAAGTTTAGAGCAAAAGTGATGGTCTTATTAGGAGAAATAACTACTCACAAAATAGGCTTGAACATCCCTGTAACTCTATGAAAATTCTTCAACACACATCAAATATAGTTATCTTACATACCCGCAAGACATGTAAGACATTCTGCTCCCCTCCCTATGTTCCCCACTTTCAGTAGTAAGGCACAGTCCTCCTGACTCCAAGCTTGGCCCTCCATCTCCTATGACACACATCATCCCTTACTCCTCTTAGCACGAGGATGTCAGGAAGAAAAATAAAGACATACCTCTTAATTCCCATATCTCTGATAACAGATGAAGGAGGCCCTATGAAAATGAGTCCCTCTTGTTTACACAACTCTGCAAACTCAGTGTTTTCTGAGAGGAAACCATACCCTGGATGAATAGCCTAAAAAGGAGAAACAAAAAGTAATCCTGAGATGACCAGGAGTGCTACATGCCACCATTAGTCAGCAACATTGGAGAGACCAGATGATCTTTCCTTCCTTATCAGGGAACTCATCTCCCACCCAGATGCCCAGTGATCCCTTGTAATTTCTCCCTCCCAAAGCCAGCACTAAGGTAAGAACCTGAGACTCACTAGAGTATAAATACTGGACAGCAGTGTCCAGCTTCACACCTATCAGGGCACTTACATCTCAAAGGGATCAGGCTTCAAATGAGAAGCACAAAGCTTCTAGGCTGGAATTTCAGGCTCGTGGTGCAAAGAGGGGAGGGTTTGGGGGGCCATAAAGCTTTACTAGCCCTCCTGAAATCATATCTCCTAAGCCGTTTCTCTACCTAGGTGTAAAGGATGGCTAGATTGACATGTGAGCTCGAATTCTCTCTCCTCTTCCCCATTTCACTCCAGTCATCAATAGCACCTTGTCCAACATGGGTTATTGATCTTCTGGCCCCAAAGTTCATGTGCCTTCCTTTCTTGAGGAGTTCAGCACTTGGCTCACAGACTTCCCCGCCACCCAAACAAACCCTTGCCATCTGTCCTCTAGACCCTGAGGCATGTCATACCAACTACTGATAAGCCCCACAGATGTCTGGGCCTTTTCTTCTGTTCTGAAGCTCAACTACTCTTTTATATAGGTTGTCCCCAAAGTCTTAGTGTGCTTTATGCCGACAAGCCATCCCCTGTGCCAACTAGTTGGCTGCTTTAAGCTTACTAAGGTTTAAACTGCACTCAGACTTCAGAGACACCATATGCATACATCACATGTATTTATATACATACATGACATCACCATGTTGGAGTCCAACACAGAGCTGTCATTTTGGTCCTCTTTGAGAACAGACAACAACCAACCAACCAACCAATATATATACATATATGAATAATAATAGTACTGACTTTATAGGGTTGTAGTGAGGATAAAATGAGATAGTATTTGTAAAGCACTTTACCAACCTTTAAGTGCTATATAAATGCTTATCATCATTATTATCTTTCTTAGTATCAGCTGTCTTCCCTAATTAGATCATTAGATCGAAGACTGTCTTGTTTTTTTTTTCTATATGTATCTACAAGGCTTAGCACAGTGCTTGACATATAGTAAGAGCTTCATTCATTCATTCATATCTGGAGATGTCAATATACATGCTTATGTCCCCTTACACACTCTGGATTTCCAGTTCATCAGCCTCACCATCCCCTATCTTCTATACCTTTAATACACCTCAGCCACACATTGGGGACAATCCTTCACCATCACCCATAACTGTTCGACCTATATGACCTAGAACTCTAAAATTTTTCTTTCAAACCATGATCTCTTTCACTTCCATCTCTTCCTTGGTCTCACTTCTAAACATCTTTATCCTCATAATGAACTCCAGTCACTCCACTCTTCTCCCTGATTTCTCAAAATATCACCCTTTCTCTGGTCTCACTTCCTTCTCTTTTCCATAATCACCCTACTCTTGAAGGCCAGTTCAGCTTTGTGTGGCCCTCTTCTCCCATCACTATAAATCCCTTTCCAAACCTCAACCCTGCACTATCCCAACCATCTGCCTTCCCTGCTCCTACTCTTGTGCCACTGAATACCACTGAAAGAAGTTATAATGAAAGTAGTGCATATGCATCCACTAGAAACGTATGTTACCTAACCTCGGCTGGGCCCTCACTGCTGCAAGGCAATCCTTCTGCTCTTCCTATGCAGACACTTTACCATATTCTCCATAACTTCTATTCCAAACCTCCTCTTTTCTCCTCACGCCAACATCCTCCTCCTCTCAGCAAGAGATCTTTTCCTTTTCTTTCCAATGAAAATAGAAGACCTCCACCATGAACTTTGTCTTCTCTCCAGTTCTATACATAAGCCCCTTTACCATCATTCTCCATTCCTGATTTGCTTCAGTCTTGGAAGAATATGTGGTCTTTTCCCAATGAAGGCAAACTCTTCTTCTCCAACAGTTTTCCAACGCAATCAATCGCCCACCTCTAATCTTTAATCCTTCTCTATTGATCAAGATCTCAAAACAAACCAACCCACCAATCACACTCTTCCCTAGACCCTTTCATTTCCTCAAACTATTTTCTTACATTTCTTTACCTTCTCCAAGCTAAACTCCTAGAAAAAAAAGCCATCTCTCTTCATTGTTCCACTTCTCCTCTCCTACTTATTTCTGAACACCTTCTAATCTGGCATCTGAAACAGCTGAGGCCTGGGGCCAGTGAGGAAGCTAGCTCCAGTCATCTTATCCTGGTGATGCTTCTGGGGTAAGGACACTTGCTAAAATACTGTGGTTCTTCATAAAGCCTGAGGTTATGGGTTTGGGAATCAGGAATGGAAAGAAAAAGACAAATATGCTTGAAAGACATTTCACAGGGAGAACAAACTAGTTTTAATGCCTCATGGGCTCTGAGGGAGGAGTCAAATATAATTCAGAGGATTCAAGACTGTATGAGTAGGGTGAAGGTGACACCACTGATTGAGATTAGGGAGGGGAACTTAGGTCCTGGAATAGCTGGAGGAGTGTAGGAAAATATTATGATGGATACAGTTCACCTCAGATGACTGAAGGGTAGCAAAGTGAAACTATCTAGTGAATAGCAAGAGGTCTAAGTCTAAGTCTACATGCAGAGAGAAACCAACTAAGAACAGTGTTCTACGCTGATGCAGAGTGAAGGAAGAAGAACCAGGAAAACACCGCACACTCCAACTACAATAGTGTCAAATGGAAACAACTCTGAACACTGCGCTGAATATAATGACCAGGCTGGGCCCTAGAAAAGAGAGGAGAAAATGGACATTTCTCCCTTCTACTGAGAGGTGGGGAGGAGGGGTGTGGCACATTGCAGATGCCGCCAGACTTGGTCGATATGTTAGTTAGTTAGTTTGGTTAGGTTGGTTAGTTTTACTTTCTTTTCTATTCTCTCTTGATGGCTTGCTGAATAAGGGAGGGAGGGGAGGTATATCAGGAAAGAAAGATGGATGCAAAAATAAAAGGTTATCAGTAAAATACAAAATTAAAAGAAATAAAAGAAAAAAATTCTGCAACAGATTCTGTCATCACAGGAACTACCTTCATGACCCTTACCTGTGATGCTGAAACCTTGGCCACTTGAATGATTTTTTCCATGGAAAGGTAACTCTGCTGGGAGGCAGCTGGACCAATGGAGTATGCTTCATCTGCCTATTTCCACAAATGTCATACAATTATCAGACTGTAGGATTTAGAGCTGCAAGATAGTTTAGAAGAGCTGGTACAAGTCTTTGATTTCATAGACAAGGACACTAAGGCTCAGCTCAAGCTCACAGGGGCCCTTGGAAAGACCAGAAATAGGAGCCAGGTCTTCTGCCTCCAAATCTTGACCTCTTACTACCACACCAGGCTGCTTCTTGCTGACAAACAATAAAAACTTTTTCCAAGTGCCACTTGGATGGTTGTTTAATACAAGTTTCCCCAACATGGATTTTAAATCAGCATTGAAAGATAGGGAGTTTCCTTGGGGTTGGTGCTCCTGCCCCGACGCCGGGGCACAGAGCGTCACTGTGGCCGAAAAGAAGGCATCAGCTTTCTAGTGAGGAAACTCTATGTGCTCATCCTTAGATAAGGATGGACACAAAGGGGTTGTCTCCTACTCAAAACTGTGTGGCTTCTGCCTGCAGGCCAGGCAGGAATGAGTGAGCGCTTTGGCTCAGCAAAAGGCAATGGAGCAGGGTATCTGTGAAGGAATCTGCAGTTTCCCCAACAACATGGAGGCTCCTGGAGGGCAGGTGCTGTTTACTTTGTACCCCCAGGGTCAAGCAGAGCTGTGCTTCACAGACACTTGCTGACTGATTCTACTTCCACTGGCTTCAGCTTCCCCTTTGTAAAATGAGGGGTTATAAAGTGATCTTCTTCAGAATCTTCAAGCTCTAATCAATCACTTCTAATTTTGTTCACTAGCTGGGTGATCTCACATATACCACTGTGCTTCAGGTTCCTCCTCTGCAGAAGGCGGATAAGATCGAGTTCACAGGATTATCTCAAGGATCAAATCAAATGAGATAAGGCCGTGAAAGCTGTAAAGCTCTAACTGAACACAAGGTATGATCATCATTAGTGGGAAAAATCACTGCCACAAACTTCCCCTGGGCCGGGCCAGAAATACAGAGGGGCAGAAAGTAGGAAGGTGAAGGCAGCAAGCTTCTAACGTGTCTGATAACACACCATCTCCACGTGCATGGAGTTCCAGTCGGCCTCACTGTAGACAGCCACTGACTGCATGCCCATTTTCCTAGCTGTTCGTATCACTCTGCAAGCAATTTCTCCTCTATTCGCAATAAGGACCTTGGTGATGTTGCTTCTTCCTGTTTAACACACAAGAGAAACTGGGACCCAGAACCCAGAACCGGAGTGACGAGCAAGTAGCATGCTGTCATGTTAAGCAACCTAAAAAATGGGTCTTAAACATTTCAAAGTCCAAAATCATGATCTTAACCAATTCTGATGAGCTTATTTCTTACCAGAGTTAACTAGCATGAGCAGAACAATGGAATTACTAGGGGTTCTTAAGCTTAAAAATGAGAAATGGGAAATACTTCCTATTGGGAAGTGTTTTTGCTTTCCCTTGGATTTTGTAAAACCAAGGGTCAAATTAACTCACTCACCCACTCACTGATACACTATGGGTATATTTCTGGCATTAGATGTGGATGGTGTCTTTGTACCCAGACACCAGTACTTAAAATGGAGTTCTAGTGCATTTATTTACATGTGAAAAAAATCTCCAGCCATCAAACACATTTGATGTTCTTTAACTATTTTGACAATTAAAAAAAGTTCTATAAAAAATATAATGTGGAAATTCAATTTGTGACAAAGAATTTCTTAATAAACATTTAAAAGGTGATTATAATTATTTTTCCTCATATTATAATTCTAAAAGCTAGGGAGAGACCATTTCAATTGAGAGATCAAAATCAGTCACATAAATGTGTTCCATTAAAACACATTCGTATTTTGGATTCTTTATATCAAAAGAACTTTGATGTAAGAGCTGAAAATTCAAAGGAAACACCAAAATAATAGGAAAAGTATCACAAAATCACTAAATTGCTTATGAAACTTTTTCTTTTATGTAACATAAATTAAGGGTAAAAGAATACTCTTTAAAATATTTCCATTAAGAAATATTAAATTATAAAAAATTTTTTAGTACCAGTTGATGAATATTTCACAGTTCTTTGTCTCCAAATCCATCTCCTGTAACAGAAATCCAAATGACATTATAATGAAAGAAGAAACAGAATGACTAAAGAAAAAAGCAAATCATTATTCATTGAGAAAGGTCCTTTTCAATGTCACACTGACCCTTTTATCTGTTCCTCACTCCACAAGTCCTCAAAGTTTGGATATGATTTCCATTAACCTTTAGCCACTAAAATGCATAATGCTATGGTAGAAAATATATGACACTAAAGATCAGGAAATCCAGGGCCTAGTTCCAACTCTGCAGCTAACTTACTGTGTTGTGTAACTTTGGGGAAGCATCATTTTGGGATCTGTAAAATGTAGAAACTGTACAAAGAAAGTTCCTTTCAATTTTAAGGTTTCTGACTACTACTCCAGGAGACAGACTTGGCTACTGGCCCCTTATTGGACTTTGGGTGAGTCCTTTCAGCACTTTGTGCCTCAGTTTGCCCATCTGCAAAATGAGGGGATTAGGCTAAATGATCTCCAAGGTCTCTTCCATTCCAGGTAAAATCTTAGGATGCCTGTATATCTTAAATCAGTACAGGGGAGACACTGCATAGAGAAGGAGCATCCTGGTCTTAGAGTCAGGAACATCTGGTTTCAAATCCTGCCCTTCAACAGCTGACCTGGTCTACTTAACGTGAGAAAATTGAGGTCATCTGCCATGAGCTCTGCCCTTTGCTCCAGACCTGAGGAAGAGGTGGCTCTTCTCTTGATCAAGGCCAACATCTCTCCTTGGATCCCTGAGAGGCAAACCTGTATCTTGACATCTCTTTCAGAAGCTCTCCTCAATCAGGAATACTCATGTTCCTTCTCTCATCTTCAAGCTCTCTCTGTTGGCTACTTCCTTCTTGTCTACAAGTAGGCCTAAATATCTGACATCCTTAAAAAAAAATCCAACAAATTCTTTGTTTCCTCCTACTGACATTCCCTCTAGCTACCACTTAATATCTCTCCTCCCTTTCACTTCTAAGCTCTTTGAAAGTGTTGTCTACTCCTGATGCCACCCACTCCTTCCAACTTCCGAGGCTACCATTCTATTGAAACCGTTCCCAACATTACCAATGGTCATTTCATTGCTAGTCTAATCTTTTCCTCAGTCCTTGTTGCCTTTATCTACTCCACGTTGACCAATCTTTCCTCTCTGTGGCTCATGGGGTGCCACTCTCTAGGTTCCTCCTCCCTGTGTGACTGCTCCTTCTCAATGGCCTTCGCTAGATCATCACTCAGCTCCTACTCCTTAGCCAAGGTGTGCTTCTGGGCTCTTCTCTCGATCAAAGATGATACCTCTCCTCGGACTCTTGCACTTATTCTTTTCTCTCTACCCCCTCCCTCCTTGTGATCTCATCAATTCCCTTGGGTCCAATTATGTCTATGCAAAGGATTCCCAAATCTATAATCCAGCTCTAGTCTCCTCCTGAGCACCAATCCCACATCATCAACTACCTGCTGGATTATAGCGACCTACATGTTGAGTGGACATCTGAGACTCACACGTACAAAAGAGACTCTCACTATCTTTCCCCCTAAGCTCACTTCTCTAAACTTCATGATTTCTGTGGAGGGTGCTGTCCTCTTCCCAGTCACTGACAACTATAATCAGAGAAGAGGCATCCCTTTCCTCTTTCTTCTACTACTTGTATCCAATTGGTTGCCACCATTTGTCAGTTCTACCTCCAAAGAGTTCAGGCCCTCATCATTTTTCATCTAAGAATATTGGAATGGCTTCCTCTTTGGCCAACCTACTTTTAGCCTCTCCCTTCTCTCACATCTATTTCCCAACCAGTTGCCTGAATAATCTCCCTAAGGAACAGGTCTGACCATACCACTCCCTTTGAGTGGATCTCTATTTACCTCTAAGATAAAACATAAATTATTTAGCCTGAGGGCATTATGACCCCCTACAATCTGTCACCCACCAACTCTTCTAGTCTTTATTTCAAACAACTTGCCTCCATAAACTCGACTAAATTCCAGCCTCTGTACATTTGCCTAAGCCATTCTCCATGCCCAGAATGCCCACCCTTCTCTCTTCTGCCTCTCAGAATCCTGCTCTTCTTCAAGGCTGAGCTCAGGGGGTCTCCTCCTTCCTGGCCTTCCCTGATCTACCCAGTTGTTAATGCTTTTGGTAAAGAAGAAACAAACCCATAGACTAGATCTGATCAGAGACCTAGTCTTAACATCTGGACAGACTATTTTTCAAACATGTTCTTGAGGAACTGTTAGGCCCTCCAAGGTGCCTCCCGCTTCTAAAGCTCTTGATTTTATGTTCCCTCTCATTTTAGAGTTGAGACAACCTACACAAATGATAAATGAACAAGATTGAGTTGAAATAACTTGCCCATGGTCATAAATTAGAATCCAGTTTCTTGAATCTTAGTCTGTGGCTCATACCATTAAGTCACTTGGACAGCATAGGAGGACTGGTCTGAGTTGATTGAGTAACTGGGCCTATCAATCCCTCAGGGCAGCTGGCAGAAAATGGTTCTTGGCAAAACTGTGAAGTGGGTGAAACTGATCTTTAATGGTCTCCTACTCTGGGCCTCCCAACCTGCCTTCTAGCACCCTAGATACCATTTCCTTTTTTTAAGTGAATATATTTTTATTTTTATTACTAAAGCAGGAAATCTTTTCAATGACCTCTTTAAAGTCTATTATGCGGCTCCAAACTACTTCAACTTCCATTCAATTTGAGAAGCATCCCTTGAATGCCTGTTCAATGCAAGGCCTGGTGCTGTACCATGCCAGAGGCTAGGATGAATAAGACTAAGATGGGCTTTTCTTTGAAATTCAAGAACACAGAACTGGTTAGGACACTCGGGTAATGTTAAAACTTTTGCTATATGAATTATTAGGTTGTTTTTTAACTTCCAAGTCTGGCTTCAAAAACACCACTTGCTACCATATTGCACACCATGTTGCGACTTTCTCAGAAATGCCTGCCATCCTCTTGCATTTCAGTTTCTCTGTTTCTTTGCTGCCATTCCCAGAATTCCAGCCTACCTGTCTGCCATCCCTTGGCAGCCTGTAACTGCCCGTGCTGGACTGCCTTCTCTGGGTACCGTCCATGTTCTTCCCAGCCTTCTAAAGGATCTCTCCTATATTCCAGTCCTTCAGAAACCAGCTCTTAAATATGAATATTGAGTAAATAAGCCCATGATAATGTACTCAGCTCCGTGACCTTGGGCAAGTCATCTAGCTTCTCCCAGCCTTAGCATCCTCATCTGCAAAATGAGGATAATAATAGCACCCTACCTGCCAGGGCTGTTGTGGGGATCAAATGATACAACAAAGTATAAAGCACTGTGCAAACTTTGAAACACTACATAAGTGCTAGTAATTATGATTAGTCTACTAATTATTATCACAGTAATACATGTGACCTTGAATTAGTCCCTGCATTCATCTTTCTGGGTTTTCTTATCTAAAAAATGAAGCAATTGAACTAGATTTCTAAGTTCTAACTGTATGACTTGAGGCTGATCTGTTCCTCTTCAAGCTTGGAATGTGGAGCCAGAACCTGGATTTTAATCCCAGCTTTGCCGATTACATCCTGTACGGCCTTGGATGAGTCATTTAACCTTTTTGAACCTCAGTTTCCTCACTTATAAAATGAAGGGAGTGGGCTAGATAATCTCTGAGGTCCCTTGTACCTTTAGATGTGTGATCCGATGAATACTGGATTCACACTTTAAAAGGGCCCTCTAGAGACAGTGCTTTAAAGAAGGAAATAACTGATCATGGGGATTTTAAGCAGCATAATAGTAGGTCAATGGCGTCTACTACCAGAAGGTGCAGAGAAGCCACCTGTATTCCAACCAACCAACCAATCAATAAGCATTCATTAAGTGCATGACTGGGTACAGAATTAAGCAATGGAGAAAGAAAGGGCAACAAAATGGTCTCTGCCCTCAAGGAGCTTCCATTCTAATAAGAGAGACAATATGGACATAAGTAGGTACAGAGGAGATGCAAGGTAAATTTAGGTAGGAAGGGACCAACAGCTGGAACCAGAAATGTGCCCACCTATTTTCCTTTCAGAGAAGGCTGGCTTCCTTTAGGCTTATGTGTATATTATTGATTGCCATGTTGTAAAATTTGGGGTTCCATACTATGCCGCTTTAATGGTTTAAGAACAAGAGCATTGGGAAACACTGTGACTTTTGGTTATGTATTGCAAACAGTGCTGCTTGGCACACAATTAGCACTTAATAAATGCGCACTCTCTCTCTCCCTCCCTCCTATCTCTCTTCCTTCCCTCCCTTTTTTGCTGTCTCTCTCCATGTCTCATTCTGTCTCTCTTTCCCATTCCTCTCTTTCCATCTCTCTCCTTTCCTTCCCCTTTCTGCTGTCTCTCTCCATTATCCATTCTGTCTCTGTCTCTCTTTCTCTCTCCTTATACCTGAAAGGATGTGAGTCAAACTGGCAGCCTGAGCCCTCACCCCCTGCTTGATCCTGGCAGTGACACTCAAGGTGATTCTGAACTGGGTGAGCTTCTGCCTCCTCCACCTTCTGGTCCTTTTGCCCACACTTCTGCCTTCCATCTTCTGGCCCCTGAAAACTTCTGAGATGCTAAGAGAAAGAGGAGGAAAAGCTACGTGATTTTGTAGAGACTAGGAAGAGAGAGGAAAGGTAAATGCCAGGAGCTGTGGGTGCTGGGCTGCGGGCCTAGGAGGGTCTGTATAAAGGCCTGGAGAAGACATGCTCTAGAGAGCTAGAACCCAAAAAGGAAAACGTGGTAACCGTAGCGTGGCTGTACTTGCTAACCATCAGAGACAAAAGTACAACTCACTGACTATGAGAAACACAATACAATTTCTCCTTTCAAGTTTCATCACTGCCTCCCACACTCCAGGAAGCAGAGACCAGGGCTTTGGTTACGTTAACAGTGAGGTAGGGCAGCTAGGTGGTGCTGTGGATAAAGTGCTGGCCCCGGAGTCAGGAAGACCTGAGTTCAAATCCAGCCTCAGACTTACTAGCTGCATAACCCTGGGCAAGTCACTTAACCCTGTTGGCCTCAGTTACTTCCTCTGTAAAATAATCCGGAGAAGGAAATGGCAAAACCACTCCAGTGTCTTTGCCAAGAAAGAGTTGGGCATGACTAATCAACTAAACAACAACCCTGAGGTATAATCCTGGGGATCTTCCTGTTGCAGTGGGCATTGATACCTTCAAAAATTACAGCCACACTCTCAAATAGGATTTTCCTAAATAGGGAAACTGAGGCAGCTGTGTGCTTGTATATATGTGTGCATGGCAAATGCCTCCTGGAAGGATGAGATTTCTCTCGTGGAGCTAGGGCTACAGGATCATCTAAAAAGTACCATTGTGTGTCTTTTTTCCTCTCACATCAAGCTCAGAACTATGTCTCTTCCTCAAAACAAAAACTCACATTTCATTCCCTCCCCCATAGCACTACACACACTACACACAGATAAACATGAGACATAAACCACATGCATGCACACAGAAAGTGCCTGGCACACAGTCAATGCTTAATAAATGCTTATTGACTGAGTAACACCCCAAAACAATCAAATACATGCCTACTGAGTGCGAGGCTTGAGGCTGAGGTGGGTACACAAGAAGAAGAAATCAAGACCAAAAAGAAAAAAGAAAAACGTCCTCAACCTCAACTTCTACACGTACATACTGTTTCTCCCTCAGTACTTCCGCTAACGAACGTGCAGAAGAAATACAAAACGTACACAAAGCTAAAATGATAATTTTGCAGAGGGCAGGTCTGGAAAGGCCTCAAAGTCGCACTTTAAGGGAGCGAATGACTAAAGACGTGCAGAGGGGCTACATTACAGGCAAGGGGGTCAGCCTGTCCACAGATAGGGCACATGTGGGGACCAGCAAAGCTAGCCCAACTGGACAGTAGAGTACAGGATGGAGAATAACTTATGCGAGGCAGGAATTAGGTTAGCTGGGCTTCTAAAGCTAGGCAGAGGATAATAGGCAGGTCCTCGAAACGGCAGGGAGCCATTGCAGCATCTGCAGCAGAGGAGCAGCGTGGTCAGGTCTGTACTTCAGGGGAATCATTTTTTTCACATTTAGCACCAGGATGTACAAAGGCAGAGGAGACAATGCAGAAAGACCAGTCAGGAGGCTGCTGCGACTGTCCTGTAGACACATGGCTGGACCCAGTGGGGTTCAAGTCACTCTGAGTAAGTGGAGGGATGGAGACTGACTGGTCAACAAGATCTAGTGGCATGCCGGGCAGCTCCAAACCATATCCTTCCCTCCACACCTGGCATCGGAACCAGCCTGCGACTTAATGAGTGCGTTTCCCCCGAGATCCAGGACACCAGGTCCCTCGGCAGCCATTCATGCGCCATGCCAATGAGCCCAGACCTCCTCTTCCCCTTCGAGCTCCCCTTTTAGAATGGAAGCTCCTTGAGGGCAAGAGCTATTAAGTTTGCATTTATATACCAAAAATAGTGCCTGGTATATAATAAATACTGAATAAATGTTCTGTCTAGTTACACATCAGTTTTTGATAAACTAATCACCTGAAATCTCATTATCATGGAGATGGATTCAGTTTTGATACCAATACCTCTTCAGCCCCCTCAGTTACCTCTCCCCTAGACCTTCACTTTAGAAAAATCACTGGTGTCTGAGGCAGGCAGACCCACCAGATGTGAGGTAATGAGGGCCTGCACCAGGCTGGTGGCAGTGTCAGAGGCATATACAAAGGATGTAATGAAGGTAATGTCAACAGAACTTGGCAAGTGAATGGATATTGGGGTGGGGGGAGGTGTGCAACAGGAATCAAAAATGACACCTTGATTGCAAGCCTGGGTGACTGGGAAGATGGTGTTGCCTTCTACAGTGATAGGGAAGTTAGGAAGTGGGGAGAATTTGGGGGGAAAGATCATGAGTTCAGTTTTGGACACATTGAGTTTAAGATGTCTACTGGACATCCAGTTCAAGATAGTCAATAGGCAGATGGAGCTGCAGGACTGGAGGTCAGCGGAAGTTGGGGCAGAATTGGTCAACTTGAGAATCATCACCAGAGATAGTTATTAAATACTTGTGAGCTGATGAGATCACAAAGTGTAGTATAGAGGGAGAAGAGAAGAAGGCCCAGGTCAGAGTCCTGAGGGATACCTATAGTTAGAGGGTGTGATCTGAGGGAGGGTCCATTAAAGGAGACATAGGAATGGTCAGAGAGGAGGGGGAGGGAGGTGCCCTGAAAACCCAGAGAGAAGAGAGTTTCAAGGAGAAGAGGGCGACCAGCTGTGTCAGAGGCTGCAGAGAGGTCAAGGAGAATGAGGACTTAGAAAAGGCCACTGGATTCGGTGATCAGATGGACACACAGCCATATACACCTTGCACGCGCGCACACATACATATGCACGCATACACGCATACACATACACATACACACACCCCACACACCCCTTGTTCACACCTCACACCTCTCACACACGCACTCCTTGCTCACACCCCACACCTCTCTCGCTCACACACACACCCCTCCTCAGCTCACACCCCACACCTCTTGCACACTCCCCTTGTAACCCATGCACACTCCTCCCACACACGCACGCGCATACACACCCCTTCCACGCGCATCCCCCGACACCTCCTGCGCGGGCTTGCCCACGCACATCCCCGCCTCAGTTTCCCCACGTACCCCGGCTGCAGCAGGCCAGGCAGATGCCGCCATTGGTTCCTCTCCGCCACCAGCAGCGCCACAGCCCCCAGGTATGTCCTCATGTTGCTTCCGGGCATTCCCAAGCGACCCGCAGACCCCCAGACCCCCAGACCCCCAATGCCCCCAACCTCTCAGGCCCCTCGGTCTTTACACAGACCGACCCAGGAACGCAGCCAATCCGAGACGGGGCAGTGTCTCTGAAGCGGCCAATAAGAACCATGATGGGGGCGTGGCAAGGTTCCTCGCAGCCCAATTGGCCGGCGGGGGGGCACTTGGCGGAGCCAAATGGACGGGAGGTGGGGCCGAAGGGCGGGGCGGAGCCTCGCGAGCCGAGGAGGCGGGGTCTTATCTATAAGCTGGAGCGAGGGGGCGGGGCGGAGTTCTCTCCCTCATTCTCCTCAGAGGAGTCTTTCCGGTTCAGATAGTCTTGCCAGGTCCCTCTTTCCCTTTTCATTCCACTCTTCGCAAGGCTGACTGTCCTAGAGCTTGGGGAGGCGGGGCCGGGGAGAGGAGCGCGCGCCCTAGGCGCTCCCGGCCTCAGCCCCGCCTCCTTCCTCGCCTCACCACCAACCCCCCCCAGCAGCTGCGCGCGCACCGAGGCTTTGGTTTTGTTTTAGTCCGGAAGAAATGCTGGAAGGTCAATCTCTACCTGACTCCCTCTCAAACTGAAAGGACCTTCGTAATCACAGAGGGAAACTGAGGCCCAGGACCTGTAGCTTCAGGCTTCCTGAGAGTTTTACTTGTGTCTCACTGGAGCCTCAGAACCCCCGTGATTCTCCTCACTTTACAGATAGGGAAACTGAGGCTCAGAGAGGTTAAGGGACTTGCTCAAGGTCGCACGGCCCCTGAGTGGCCGAGAAGGAATCAAACCCAGGTCTTGCTGGCTCCAAGCCAAGCTGTCCTCTCCCTTCTCCCCCTTCCCCTTAAAAGCAGCCCCCCTCTCTATGGTGGGTCGATTTCCCTAGAGAAGGAAGCCTGGAGAGAAGCGGGTGCGGGAGGCGGGGGGGGGGAGCTAGGGGGTACACTCTTTGGAAATCAAGGGTCCAGGGTTCAGATTCCGCCCCTGAATCTTCCTTTTGTGATCCTAAGCAAATCAGTTAACGTCAATAACCTCATTTCTAAAACAAGGGGGTTGGAATAGATGGTCTCGGGGATCCCTTGCTGATCTATGTTCCTAAGACGTTACCTTTGCCAGCGCCCCTTGATTTCACCCTGAATTCAAATTAGGGAGTTATAGGAGCAACGTGCAGATCCAGTTAAAGTGTCCTAGCAATATTGTAACGGATGACACAAAGTAACTAAATTTTTGTTTCTGTAAGTGACGGGGGAAACTTCCCAGAGTCTCAGAGCTGAAAGGGACCTCAGGGGCCGTCTAAACTGATCCACATCCGAGCAAAAAAATCCCTCGCATACCTGCCAAGGGGTCATCCGGCCTTTGCTTAAAGAATGAGGATTTGGACTGGCCGGTGGTGAAGCAGAGCTAACTGGCTCTTTAAGGCATTCCACCTCGGCATAGTTCTGATTTATTAAGAACTTTTTTCCTTTTAGCAAATCCAGATTTGTCTCTGCAACTTCCACGTATTGCTAAATGGTTCTGTTTTTTGGGGCCCATACACAAGAAACCTAATCCTTTTTTTTTTTTTTTTTGGAGACTGGGTTTTCCTATTCTTGCAATTAACAAGGCGGAACCGGTAGTGATCTGCTTGAAAGCTTTGACCTGCTCCATTTCTGACCTGGACCGGCTAGTCCCTCCTTAGGGAACCTGCTGCCCCACCCCACCCCATCCCCATATAACGTGGCAGACTTAGTTTGCAGACTTTGGTTGGCTTTAGCCCCGTTCCTTTAGCCCTCTTGTAGCTCAGAACTCCCATGTTCAATGAATATGGAAGCCTCAGCTCTGCCAGTAGCATGGATTAGAACCTTAGTTCAGTGCCTGGCGCAGAGTTAATGCTTAAGAAATTCTTATTGACTACCTGACTGACCGTCTGGCACTTAATGCTTTTCCCAGGTGTTAACCTTTCACATACTTAGAGACAACTATCATGTATTCCTGTCGTCTCTTTTACAAGCTAAATATCCTGTCAACAAATCCTCATATATTATGAACCCCAGGCATTTCACCCTAATTACTGGTTGCCTTTCTCTGGACATTTTGCAGCTTATCAATGCCCTTCTGAAAAGGTGGTATCCAGAACTCCATTTATCTCTAGGGCTTCTCTCATTTGTCATGATCTTTCAATGATCATTGACTCAAAAACCTTAGGATCATGGATTTGAACCTAGAAAGGGACCTTATGTGTGTTTTGATTGAATCCCAGATAAGGAAACTGAGGGCTAAAGAAATCATGACTTGCCCAGCATCACACTTGTAGCAAACAGCAACTCCTCTGACTGCATTCTTTACTTGGTAATCAATCAATCAATAAACATTTATTACTGTATGCCCAGCACTGGGGATACAAAAGGAGGCAAAAGACAGTTCCTACCCTCAGGGAGCTTTCAATCTAATGGAGGAGACAACATGCAAACAAATATATACAAAGCAGGCTATATAAAGGAGAAATAGGAAATAATTAACAGAGGGAAGGCACTGGAATTAAGAGAGGTTGGGGAAGGCTTTCTGTAGGAGGTAGGATTTTAGTTGGGAGTTAAAAGAAGCCAGGGAGGTCAATAGTCAGAGTTGAGGAGGGAGCATGCTCCAGGCATGAGGGACAGTTTTGCTCTCAAAGTATCCAGGAGATTGGTGTCATTGGATCAAAGAGTCAGTGTGGGGGAATAGAAGACTGGAAAGGTGAGAGGGGGCAGGGTTATGAAGGGCTTTAAAGACCAAACAGAGAATTTTTTAGATTGTGGAGGCAAATAGGAAACTACTGGGGTTTATTGACATGATTGGAATTGGTTTTTAGGAAAAATCACTTTAGTGGCTGAATGGAAAATGGATTGGTGTGGGTAGATACTTAAGGCAGGTAGACCCACCTGCAGAGTATTTCGATAGTTCAGGTGGAACGTGATGAGAGCTGGCTCCAGATTGGTGTCAATGTCAGGGAAGAGGAGTGAGCTTATTTGAGAGGCGTTGCAAAGGTGATATTAGCAGTCCTTGGCAACAGCTTGGATATGGCGGGGTGAGAGGTGGTGAGGAATCCAGGATGACTCCTAGGTTGTGAGCATGAAGAATTGGGAGAATGGTGCTGCCCTCTACAGTAATAGGAAGGTAAGCGCAGGAAAGGGTTTAGGGGTGGGAAAGATAATGAGTTCTGTTTGGGACGTATTGAGTTTAAGATGTCTGCTGGACATCCAGTTCAAGATGTTGGAAAGGCAGTTGGAGATGTGAGATTGGAGGTCAGCAGAGAGGTTGGGGCAGGATAGGTAGATCTGAGCGTTATATAATCATGTCTGCCAGTTCTTTTGGTACCTTAGCACACTGTTTTACTCATATGGACCTGGAGACTTGAATTCATCAAAGGCAGCTAGTTATTCACTCATCTCCCAGCTGATTCTGTGAATCAACTCTATATTAGCTATTTATTTTCTGTTGAGATATTTCTCCTTCGAAGAGAAAATAGAAACAAAGCTAAGCAGTAGTTTCAACTTCTGTCCTTATCATTTGTCGTCCCATTTTTCTTTAATCTTCTTTCCCTCAATGTAGCACCAAACAAACAAATGTCCTTAGCATTCCATGCCAACCTTAGTTCATTCTATGTTTTGGTCCTCCTGATGTTCTTATAAGAATGTGTCATGTTTTTCTATTCATCTTCCGTTACCTGCCCTTCTATTTTTTGCACCTTTTTAAAAAAAATCTGATTGGGTAATTTTCCTGTGTATCTACATCAGTCTCTTAAGATAAGTCACTTTTTTCATCATCACTGGAACTGTTTTCTTTGTATCTTCAGAATTTCATTCTTGAGAGTTTACCATCCCTTTCTGCTGAATTCCCCATGTAGGTTTTTTGTCTGTGGGATCTTAACACATCCTTTCTCTGAACCCTTTGAAGTCTGCTCCTCTCAAGTCTAGGATTCATATCAATTATGCCTGGATTGCCCCTCTTCCCTCACAAATTCTAAGATGGCATGATTACTTTCCTCCAGGGTTTTCATCATTCCCACCCTAGTCTGTGTGAATCAGGTCCAGAAGAGAAGTTCCCCTTACTTTGTAAAACTCAAAGTTCTCTAATACACAGTAGTAATTGACCATAGTAATCTAGTATTTGATAAACCCAAAGATCCAAGCTTTTGGAGTAAGAACTCACTATTTACCAAAATTTCTGGGAAAATTGGAAAGCAGTTTGGCAGAAATTAAGCATAGACCAATGTCTCACACTTTATATACCAAGATAAGGTACAAGATTTAGACATAAAGGGTGATATAAGCAAATTAGAGGAGCATGGAAACTCAGATCTATGGATAAGCGAAGCATTTATGACCAATCAAAAGATAGAGGGGATCACAGGAAGTAAAAAGTAATTTTAATTACATGAAATTTAAAATTTTCTGTACAAACACAATCAGTGCAGTCAAAATTAGAAAGAAAGCAGGAAGCTGGGGAAAATTTTTTATAGTAAGTTTCTCTGATAAAGCCTCATTTCTCAAATATATAAAGAAGGGAGCCAGAATTTAAAAAAAAAGAGTATAAATGGTCAAAGGACATGAACAGGCAGTTTTCTTTTTCTTTCTTTTTTTTAGTGGTAATTTTTATTTATTTTTTGTTTTCAACATTTACTTCCACAAGATTTTGAGTTCCAAATTTTTACCCCATCTTGCCCCTCTCCCCACCCCAAGATGGCATGCATTCTAAATGCCCCTTCCCCTAGTCTGCCTTCCCATCTATCTCTTCCCCCCTTCTCTTATCCCCTTCTCCTTCAGTTTTCCTATAGGGCAGGATGGATTTCTGTACCCCATTTCCTGTATTTCTTATTTCCCAGATGTGTTTTTAAAACTTTGGGTTCCAAATTTTCTCCCTTCCTCCCTCCCCACCCATCCTCACTGATAAGGCAAGCAACTAAATATAGGTTATATATGTGCAGTTATGCAAAACACTTCCATAGTAGACATGCTGTGAAAAACTAACTCTACTTTCCTTAATCCTATC